TATGTATGTATGTATGTATGTATGTATGTATGTATGTATGTATGTATGTATGTATGTGTGTGTGTGTGTGTGTGTGCGTGCGTGCGTGCGTGCGTGCGTGCGTGCGTGCGTGCGTGCGTGTGTCATTTAACAGATGACGTGTGTCTGACATTTAAATGTATATATTGTGCATATGATATCTATTAACATTATCGTCTCCTTAATCTTATTCCGATGAATCTGGTGAAAGGGTTTGCATTGAAGTTTTATGAGTCATTGGAAAAAAAGGTTAGACATATAAGTTGATCAAAAGTTGTATTATTATAACCAGTTCTAGTATTATGGTGTATTGCAGTTTGTCCAAATGGTGTTTCCACACTGCTAGCTAACTAGCTGTTGCTCTGCTGCTGTGAGCAGGAAACCAATGTAAAACACTGTACTGCCTGTCTATTTAATTACTTATTAACTAATAAAGGAAAACTACTTTACTGTAATAGTGTAAAACTATACATGATATGTTTAACCTCCCACACTAATACCTCTAAAGACCATGCCCAAGAGAGGTGGGATGCACCTCAGCCAAAGAACTACCATTTCAGGCTCAAAGGTCACTGTGAATTATTTATTCAATTATTAACATGACATATTGAGCGTGATATCCTGACTCAGGAGAACTTTAGTGTGCACCCATCCATACACAAGTGGAGAGAAGTGCCTTTAAATGTAAGATTTAAAACGCGCAAATCAAGATTGTCCGTGTGTTAAATTGGCGTGTGTATTTGCAATAACAGTTCTATTAGGATGAATGGGTTCATTTAAACTAGAATATGGCAGACTTGGTCTACAAACAATGGTTGCAATTCATGTTGAAGCTACAGTGGGTTACGCAGTATTTACATTTTTCTCTACCTATTTTTATAAAGTGAAGATTTTTTTACCTACTTTTGATACATGCTCTGATAGAATAACTGCATGCTGTTGAAAAAACCCAATAAACAAAGTAAAAAAAAAAAAAAAAACTACAGTGGGTAATTAAAGAAATCTACCAGAAGGTGTTTCATCCACTAACTATCAACTAGGCTTATATTTTTGGATACTATCATTGTCTAAAACTGGTATAATGTGCATTATGGTAGATAAGAGTACAACATCATCGGGCCTTGGGTGTTCCTTTGGGGACTATTTTCCATCTTAAACCATCTGCTTTATATGCCCATCAACAGAAAAGATGGTGCACTTGCTCTTGCAATCCAACCAATTACTGTCACTTCAAAACCCCTTTATAGAAAATGATTTTTTTCATTCCCAAGAGCAGTTACAGAACATTTCATGACATATCATTAGAAAGAGCTGTTGTGCTTTTGCTGCTTAACATCTCATGTCTACTGTTCGCGCATGTATTGTTTTTGTTTATACTCTTTGGCATACGGATACATTTTTAAAACTTGTTCTTGTACATGAACTTTGGACTCAGATCTCCCTAATGAAGCAGATGAAAACAAAAGCACTCATTGTCAGTGGAGGACACAAACTTCAGGTCAGTCAATGGTGTGTGTGATATGAATAGTGAATGAATTTCTGTCTCTGAAGCAGCGAGAGGGAGACACACACACACACAAACACACAAACACACACACAGGCTGAAAAACACTTACTTTCCCAAGAAGAGGGCGAGCTCCTCACCCTACTTGTTTCTTTATTCCTCTCAGTCTGCACAAGCACACAGACTGAGATGGATTGCTGCTGGGAGCCATGGCAACCAGTGGGGCTATTCACCGTCACTGTGGCTGAGGGACGGAGAAGAAGAGAGGGAGTTAATCAACAACACACACTTTCATTACTTGTACACATACATACACACACACAGCAATTACACACACACAAACGTTATCGTACGTCCTTGAATCTCAGTGCCAAACTCATAAAATGAGGTTATATTATATCCTTACTTTCTTTAGAGGCCATAAACGAAGTATTGAATACAAATTGTTTCTGTAATAATGTATCCTCATTCAATGGAATCAAATCTGAATAAATAATATCTATATATGGTGATTTACAATAATTTTGTCTGAATTTATCAAAAAGAAATGTGAAATTGAACTTTTGGTGTGTAATATCTTTAGGGAATAGGTTTTTTGTTTTGTTTTGAAATCACACTTTTACCTGAAAACTCGTTTTTTTAACTGAAGTTTTAAAATTAATTAAGAAAATACCAATTTAATATTTGTCCGAGCCTAAATTCGAACCTATTTGTTTCCCATGTGTGGTTCCCCTCTATAATTATGGAATAACAATCAGCATATTTGTGTTATGAAGGTTAGTCATTCATAAAAACAGCCACTAGCTCAGATCTAAGGACAGGGATCTACTTTTTCAAATACTGCCCAATGACAGCAAGATTAAACCCATCCTCCTTCTAATCACTTTACATTTCTCAGGACTTTAGTCAGTGGACTGTTTCCACTTCAAGCTGTGCAACTTAATTAAAAAAGCCTAATCTTTATTTAGGATTTGATGGTTTTCTGTTGATTGACAGCATCAAAGTGCGACCATTTATGGAGCACTTTTGTACAATTAGTTTACATTAGATTACAATTCTTAAATACAGATACATTTCAACGACTAAAATATGTCGGGAAGGCAGAGATGTTAAGTAACTAAGTACATTTACTCAAGTACTGTACTTAAGTACAATTTTGAGGCCCTTGTACTGAGTATTTCCATGTTATGCTAATTTGTACTTCTATTCTAAACTACAATTCAGAGGTAAATATTGGAATTTTACTCCACTTCATTGATGTAATACACACATTAATGTATAAAGAATTATACCCAAAACATATAATACATATGATTCTGAAATGCACAAATCTGCATAATGAATACTTTTACTTATATTTTGATGCTAAGACTTTTGCACTTTTACTTGAGTAACATTTTGAATGCATGACTTTTGCTTGTAACTGAGTACACTACACTACACTACACTCTGGTAATTCTACGTTTACTTAGTAAGAGTAGGCTACTTCTTCCACCTCTTAAACTTAAGATACATTTTAAAAACTTAAATAGGAGGAACAATGCTTTGCTTTACGCTGACATTGTTGTGATGTTGACATGTTAAAACACAGAGAAAGCTAACAGAGATGCTTCATTAGCTAATAAACCACTCTTACCAGTCGGCAACCTGAGGAAACACATTGTTTGTTTCAGACGTTATTTGTATAAATGATAGTTGTGCTACCTTTACTTTATAAGCGTTTAATATTCACAGAAAAACGATAAAAACGTTCAGACATGTCACTAAAGTTTGTATTTCTGAACAAACTGCGCCATCACCTGGTGCGTGTTGTCAAGCACGCCTAGACGTCATCACAGCGCGACAAGGAAGTGTAGTCGCTCGTGTCCTTCAGTGATAAACGTTACAAAAGTCTCTGCTTTAGGGACAGTTTTACTCTGTTTATTCGGCTTTAATGGAGAGACAGGAGCGGTGAATAGTGATAGTTTGAATCAAAATATGCGTTATTTGTAGTTATTATCAAAGCGACGATAGTGGCTCTACTGAGGCTGAACATTACAGCATAAACACACAGTAAGTAAGTAACGATAGTTTGTGTAAACATGAAGGATATGGGGTTAGACTGTAAAAACGTGTGATCAAGTAGCAGTGGTATTACAGTAAGGTACTATAGTGAGACATTTTAAATCATAGTTTTGTTTTTTTTATCACAGTTGGAGCTACATCAATTTCTGTTGCCGAGCCTTACGTTTTTTACATCTCTCCCAGGATCAAGCTGCGATGAGTGCTCCTAACTCTTCAGAGAGGAAGGCCTGCTGGGACTCCAGGGACCTGCTGTGGAAGTGTCTGGATGACAATGGGGACAAAGCTGAATCCTGCCTGAAGTTCCAGGGCGAGTTCGAGTCCAACTGTCCTGCTCAATGGGTAAAATATCCCCTCTTTATCCGTGTGATTACTGAGATCTCTGGTGTCAGAAAGGATGAACCATGGCAGTGTTTAAAAAATCTCAATATCAGTAATCTAGAAACAAATAAGAATACGCCTCATCCCTCCCCAATCAGGTGAAAGCTAAAGCTTCAGTTAAAATGGGGTCGTTACTCATCTTTTTATATTTTCCCTGACAGGTGAAATATTTCAGCAAGAGGAGAGATTATCTGAAATACAAAGTGAGGATGGAGACCGAAGGATTCAAGCCGGCTGAAGGCCCTAAGCAATCTTCCTAACCAAAACCTGCACTCTGACTGGCTTTCAGATCAGAGCCAGAGGTGCACACTGGGAGAGGAGTGTTCTTACTTTATTATGGACTTCACCACTATGATTATTTATTTGTACAGAGATTAAAGCTGCATCCAGGAACATGCATTTCACCAGCGACTTGTTTCAAAATGATTTGAGCTTCTCTTCACCTGATCAGCTGCTCTGAGATGTTTTAAAGGAAACGACAAGAGAGGGAAAGATGGTGAATCCACCTGGAAATTACATGTAATGTCACTGTGGTAAAACTTTACAATAATGCTGTTTGAAATTTGAAAAATTGCCTTTTATCAATAAATGCTGATCTTTACTGATTATTTCCTTTTAATCCTGATTTATCAACATATTTAAGTGTGACTGACTTGGGCTGTTGGATGTAAATAAATAAAATGGATTCAATGAAGGTTTATTGTTGTATCATCTTAACTCTAGTTTTTCTCTTGAGACATGAGACAGCTCATTTGGAAACAGGCACATACATTTAATATTACAAATCTGTATTTATTTACAAAGGAGTGTTGCTCTTACACCATCAAGTTGTATGAAACCTTCAGTAGGGCAGGACAAATTACAAAAGCATCTATAGCTTTTCACTCTACCCACACTGTCCTAAACGTATAATCTAGTGATATAAAAAATCACAAATTGCATGAAAATGTGTGTACAAAATATAAAGGCTGTTTGCACAGTTCATTGCATCTATGTCTTTGTGCAAGCCTTTTCCCCTCCAGACGACAGAATTGTGATTTGACATTTAATTGAACATTTGTTCAATCCCACCCTGTGCTACCTCTCTCCTCCTTAAAGGCTTTGGGTGCTGCATTCAGACATAATAAGTAACTTTGCTGCCTCCCAACTCTGAATTTCTTTTAGCTTCACATGCCAGGAGAAAAATCACACCTCCAGGGTAACCAAAAACAAAAATCATGATCATCCTGTAGCTTAACATGCTAATACCACACATTTTAAAATATATGTTTCTGTGTTAACTCCAGTAGCTTTTGATTATTGATCATACATCATATTTGCATAGCTAGTAGATCTTTCTAAGATTTTATGAATGTTATGATTTCAGATGTATTCAATATGACGAAAAAAAAAAACACATCTGACCAACAAGCAGAAGTCAAAAAAACGAATTAAGTAAGACAAAGTTAATTCAGGGTCAAAGGCACACGGGTCAATAAACAAAAAATAATGCGAGGAGTGTGTAAAACCACTTAAATGGCAAGATAAGGAAGGGTACAATGAAAATTAACTTGATATTAAGGTCTGCATAAAATAAACTCTTGTAGGTTCATTCAGCTATCTATACCTTAAAAACAGCTTACATTCTTAATATATTAATGTTATCTAATAAAATTGTATGTCTGAGAAATAGCACGGTAAAAAGCATGTGTTCCATGCTTTAAGGAGGAAGGTGTTGGTAACACAGGCAGTAATACGGAAGGTCACTATGGTGTGTTCACAGTATGATCAGCTTCAGTAACTTTGGACAAGACATCAGGCGGACATCAAGCTCCCAATTTGTTGGCAAAAGAACAAAAACACCTTTAAAAACACACCATATGAGAGACATCATAAGATACTAGGCACATCTGAAAGGCTGGACCAGCATGCATGTATACAGTACATTATCAGCCTTAGTAGAAGCCTCTTCTCATGCATTTATCTGGCTTCACATCGGACAGTAAAGACAACTTGATATATCAGAATTATACTTCAAATTCTCTCAGGAATCTTTCCATGATGATCTGGTTAAAGAATCATACATAAAGTAAAGCAGGAAGCATGCAGTAAAAAGAGGCTTACTTACAGTAGTATGGCCATATAGCTTATTTATATCTAAACATCAACTAATAAGGCATGATGTGGCCCTGAAAACAGTTTATAAATCGCTATTTTGAATCAAAACAACTTAATGATCACCATAAATACTGTATGTTTGTATTTTTGAGTAATATTTTCATTGATTTTGTGGAAAACAGAATCTCCATCAAACTTGGTTGACGATGGTAAAAAAATCCTGTGACTGGAAGTTAGAGCACAGAGGCCACCGTGACAAAGGCATTCTGTCCTTGTTATTCAAATATAATACTTATTATTGCATCAACAGGCATTGTTTATGCTCTCTTCTTCTTCATCATCTTCTTCTTCTTCAGGTAGAGTTATCCGTCTAATAAAGGGCTAAACTCTGAGCAAGACGGTCCTCTTTTCATCATTTTCTTTTTGTCTTTTATTTTTCAGAAACACTGCCCCATCTCTGTCTCTCTCTGTCTCTCAGTTATTCAGTGGTGGTTATAAGCCCCCAGTGACGTTCCTGGCAACTGCCCAGCCTGGAAACTCATTCAGGTTGAACAGGGGAACCCCCCACGTGCTGATGGCTAACATCACCACCACCACGCCGATCAGATTCACCCCAAAGCCTGCTTTCACCTGGAGGACACAAAGAGGAGAAAACAAGTTAGGTTAGGTCCGCTGTAAGCCTTTGTCTTCCTGAAAACCAGCAGGAGTTAGGACATCTCATCCTCGTGATTAAATTAAAGAACTTTGACACATTGTACTCTTAGCCTTTTGATGATACAGGTGCAGAAAGAGCATGTGACTGAGAGTGTGTGTTTATCTGTGTGTGTGTGTGTGTGTGTGTGTGTGTGTGTGTGTGTGTGTGTGTGTGTGTGTGTGTGTGTGTGTGTGTGTGTACGTGTGTGTGTGTGTGTGTGTGCGTGTGCGTGCTTACCATGTCGCTGATCTTCACGTGGCCGTAACTAAAGACGATGGCGTTGGGGGGGTTCCCGACTGGAAGCATGACCCCGAATGACACGCACATGGTGGAGGGGATCAGTGTGTGCAGGGGGTTGATGCGCAGAGTCTCTGACTGCAGGGAGGGAGGGAGAGAGGGAGGCTTAGATACATCGTACAGACAAGATGCAGAGTGTGGGTTTATAAAGCTTCCTGCTAACACATGCACACGACATTAGCTTTACCTCTGAGCAATATGGAGGGGTCATTCATAAGTAGGAAGCAAATGTCTAATTAGTTGCTTATGAGGATATGTGTGATAGAAAGAATAATTTCTTCAACACAGCAAAAAAAACCTAGAGATAATTTGTGGCTTTTAAAGCTAGAGTGGACATTTTTTGAATTACTATCATGCTTTCAAATATCTGTCAATAAGATGCAGCAGCCGGTTATCTAAGCTTAGAATAAACATGGGCAAACTTCTAGCCTGGCTATGTCTGAAGGTAAGAAAATCCACCTTCCAGCACCTCTTAAACCCCATCATTAAAATAAATCCAGTGAGCATGTTTCCTTAAAAGGTTCAAATGTATCAGAAAGCTGTGTTATTGTTCTTATCCGATGTGCCTAATCTTCATTGTATAAGTTAATCAAAAAGAGTGGTATTGAAGCAGAAATTAGCAACATGTTGCACGTTTCAAAATAAATATTCTTCAAAAATGTGAAATACTTGCACGTGAATTACTTTTTATCAAAAGTTTAGATTTTTTGAATTTCTGTCAATACTTCTGTTCCTCTCTGGTGTCTCTAAACATCCAGTTTACAGGCCCCTGTAGAGCCACAACAGAATAGTTGCGTGAAAAGGAGTTTCATACCAGCGCTGACAGGATGGGCAGGAAGACGGTAAGAGTCGCAGGGTTGGAGGCAAACTCTGTGACCGCTGACACCAGCAGGCAGGCCAGCAGGGTGACGGCCCACGGAGGAAGACCACTCATGGGCTCCAGCTGTCTGCCGATCCACACTGACAGGCCTGACACCTGCACACACACAGACAGATCAAATCAGATCAAGACTTCTCCTCTAGAAGCTTCCTAACCCTCATGAGATAACTTGCAGTACACCAACACATGTATAGTACCTTACAACCAGCAGCCAGCGCATAGCCGCCTCCCACCAGGATCACGATCTCCCACGGCATCAGTTTCTGGAAGTCCTTCCAGGTGATCATGGGAGCCATTGGGTCGGACTCTGCGTCTTTTTAAATCAGAGGAAATGTCAATTTATCTTTGTGTTTATAATGGTTTATGCTGACTTAATGAACATATATTTGACAAAGCAAAGCTAAGTTTCAAATTCAAAAGTTCTGACCTGTGTTCCTACAACTGGAGGAAGAGGAGGAGGAGAAAGGTCGCCTGGCAGGGATGAGGAAGAGCAGGAAGCCCAGAAGTACAGAGACTGTGGCGTCTGTCCTGTAGCCTTTCCTGAGAGGGAGAACACCACAGATATAAAAGATGCAAAAGAAGAGAGAAGAAAATGTGCATGTCTGCCTGTGTGAGAGTGTAAGTCTAATGTTTGTGTGGTGTTACGCAACATGATGGGCACTCACTTCTCAAATAGGGATGTCCAGCCGGGCACAAAACCTGGCTCTCTGGTGAACCACAGCAGGGTCATCAGGATGAAGAAAACACCGGTCACCACCTCTGGGTAGCTACGACACACATATAAACCACAACAGCATATGAGCAACAAATATATGAGTAATGTAGAGGTATGGCTCATAGAATAATCCGTAACGTCTTCGAATGTTAAAAAAACTTCCAATTGGCTCAAATAAATGCATGATTTTCCAAACTAATTAGGTCCTCTGAGACAAGTTTTTACTGTACGGAGTTGGTTAGTTTCAACTGAAAATCACCTAAAAGTGGCACACTTCCTTGGTTAAATAACAAAAAATCCCCACAATAATCAACTAAATTCCCTTAAATACAACATACCAATCTCAGCGACATCCAGTTAAGTCGGTAAAGCTCCAACAAATAAACCAGACACACATAGAAACACATGCACACACCTGATGGGTCCCAGTTTGGCATACTCCTCATGGATCCTCTTCTCTGACAGCATCTCTCTCCTGGTTTTGCGTTTCTTACTCCATGAGCACGTTTCCCTGAAGCTGAACACACACAAAACAACATCAGGCACATTCAGTGCGTGTGTTAAACATGCAACCACAGTGTAACTCAACCTCAACAGGATTATCAAGGGAGTCTGTAATGATGAGATGCATTAGTATGTATGTTCACACAGTACAGTACATCTTTAAAATACACACTCCCACACACTCACTTGCAGCCCAGGAAGAGGAAGTGCAGCCACAGCCAGGTGAGGACCAGCATGATGATGGCGATGGGGAAGCTGAAGATAAACCATGTGCCGAAATTGATCACCTTAGCATCTGGATACCGACTGAAGAGACAAAGAGAGAAGCAGACTTACATCGACTTCAATTTTCTAATTTTTCACACCGCTTGGATGGATTGCTGTATGACTTTAGGATTACATTTAAAATTGCACACACAGGCAGAACCCAAACCTGACCTTTGTCCAACAAGCTGAGACATGAAGGAGGCCATTCTGCTGGGCTTATTGCTGCGGCTGGAGGAAATCGCTCATTATAGAGGCTAAGCAGTGTGAGCCCTCCAGACACTCAGTTAACAGGGTCTGTCTCAGTCTGACCAGCACAGACGCCAAGAAACCAATCAAGCCGTAATCATGTCTCAAAGTGTGGATGATGTCTACTGGAGCTAATACCATACAAAAACAACTGTGTGACACCAGCACCCAACCCATGCTAAACCTGCTTTAAATTAATCTCGCGGTCAGAGGAAGGTGGATTAACGAGGTGTGCACGTACAAATACTTACGTTTACTTACATGTAATTTGTCATGTGTACCTACGTGTATCTATGTGTATGCACGTCAGAGTCCTGCACGGGTCTGATTTTCAAGACCCGCTCCCGCCCCGCACCCGCGACGTGCAATACCGAACCCGCCCCGCTACCCGCACATATTGCCAATTAGTTCCGCAACCCGACCCGACCCGCCGGCAAAATATCCGCAACCCGACCCGAACCCGCATATATATAAGCAGTGAAAACGTGCAATTATTAACACACGCAGTTGCATGTTTGGCTCAAAAAGCCTGGGAGGTTGGTTATTTTCTCCATCTAGGATGACACCAAAAGCCTCCCAGATGTTGGATTTCGCTCTTGAGGAAGAGTTATTGAAAATGCTGTATTCTCCGCTAGAGAGCTTCACCTCAGCCATTCAGAATGTGGCGCGCTCAGCAGCAGATAGATGCGCTGCAGAGGTTATGATTATGCTCGGTCCCGCGGGGGAGAGGTCTGAGGATTTAAACATTAAACTAAATTATTATTATTTAAATATATTTATTATGCAACACCCGCAACCCGAACCGCATCATCTTTGTTTTACCCAGAACCGAACCCGGAAAAAAGCGTTTGAAAAAATCCCACCCGCAAATCCCCTTTTTTGCGGGTCACCCGTCGGGTACCCGCGGATACCCGACCCGATGCAGGACTCTGACACACACACACACACAACCACACCTACACATTGTACAACAAACACAAACAGCTCCTAAAGCATGACTACATATCAGGCTACAGCCCTTGTATATTTTATTATGTGAAGCACTATATGGTTTCATGAAAAATATCTACTGTTTATTGGTAGATATCTCCTGAAGCCTACAAATAAAGTGTGAAATGTAGGCCTGTTACATATCTTATTGAGCGATATATATTATACACACTGTTCCCGACCACAGTTGCTTCGTGTCGAGACGTTTGACAAGGTCAACACTAAAATTCCTATAAAGTTCTTACTAGTTTACACGTAGTCTGAAAGACGGGAAATGGCAAACAAACAGACAACAAATGAGTGATAGTGTAAGGGGACCTACAAATTCCAATTACGAAAGTAACACTCCGGCTACAAATGTCACTCTTGTCGACGCCTCCAGTCTANCTTTCTCTTTCTCTTTCTCTTTCTCCTCTCCTCTCCTCTCCTCTCCTCTCCTCTCCTCTCCGTCCTGATCTCTGTATTTATATAGTTTTGTGTCTGAAAACAAAACTATATAAATACAGAGATCAGGACGGAGAGGAGAGGAGAGGAGAGGAGAGGAGAGGAGAGGAGAAAGAGAAAGAGAAAGAGAAAGATCCATAAAGCAATCATAATCTCTCCTCCTCTCACTTCCTTTTCCTTCTTTTTTCCCATCAAACATCTTATTCCACGAACCAGCTCCATGCCTTCAAATCACTGGGGTAATTAGAGATAATTTGCCCTCCTTGTGCGAAGTACTAGGGGCATTAAGGGTATTAGTGAAAGGCTCAGCTTTCACCACTCTGTTTGTGTCAACAGGGCAGCCTAATGAAGCATGCAGGGAGAGTCGGGGAACACTTGTCCTGCTGATTGTGCTTGATTCCTGGATTCTTCTTTGATAAATGATACCTAGTTAGAAAATGACTAAGAACACCCAAGGAGAAGATAATCCAGTGAAACTCTGGTGTTAGTATAAGAACAATTATATTTGTGTTATCTATGTAGTGTGATAATCATAATGTCTTCTTTAATTTTACTACCAATTATGTAACTTGCAATGGACGTTCACACAGGATGGAATTACATCTAATTTAGATTCTATGAAGCTACCTTAGACAAAGAATAGAGGATAGGAGGATAGGAAAACTGGAAAATGTTAATGGTGGTGAATTTGTTGGTGAATTTACATAAAATATTTAGTCTATACTGTATCACTCTTTATTTATGTTTAACTTGAGTTTTGAACTCTTGAGATAAATATACTTTTTTAGGCTGCTCAATGCTCCGCTTTGTTCTCCACCAAGTTGCTAATGCCATTTCTATAAAACTGTTGGATTGGAGGCCAAAAGTTCAACATCCAATGGATATGTATTGACAATTTTGATGAGACATATATTAGATTTTTTTCGAATTCTTCACAAAATATCGGAAAGCAATTTTGAATTATGGTTTATATTGATGTAATTTGATTTTAATATATTTTATATGCATAGTTTTTTTGTACCCATTGCCTCAAAAATATATACTATCTCAAGATACCCCTGGAGTAGAGTCAAGATTTGAATCGCGATTTGAATCTTGAATCAGTAAAGATAACTGAATATAAAAAGTACCAAACAGTGTTGGTTTGGATGAGACAGCCCTGCCTGCTGTGTTTTTCTCTCACTCAGAGAGGAATGCGCTGAACAATTCCCTGAGTGTGTCTTCACTTTTATCACTTCAAGATGTTTAATTACAACTGAAGGCAAAAAAATAGGCATTTGTAACAGTTTCAACAGGACTGGTGCTTATGTGTGTAGGCCCATATGGCAGGACAGAGGAAGGGAATATTTGCACAGGTCCATGATCCAGAGCGTGGCAAGGATGAGCTCCAACAGCCAAGCGCAGACTGTTAAATAAAAATTCAATACACACTTACAGCACGGGAAAATATCAACATTTACGCTTGTTTACAACGCACAGCGAGAACATCCACCCATAACACAGGCCGGCTACATTCCTCCGCCTGCCCACACACAGAGCGGCCGGCCAGGATACATAAGAATGCCATTCCTCGCCAGATTTCAGAAGATCTTTCATTTGAATTTTCCTTAACCAACATCTGACTCCAAATATCACCACAGGAGAAGGTTGGACACTCAAGTTGTAAAATGCTGATGTGAAACTGTTATTAAAGAAGACGGGTTGGGTTACGGGAAACACAGATGAGCACACAGAGATGAGTAACTTTATACTTTTTCCTTGCTCTTTTTTGTCTAAAACCAAACCCCATCTGAGGGAAAGGCCCTCCATTCATAAAGTGCAGCAGCAGCAGCAGCAGCAGCAGCAGCAGCAGCAGCAGCAGCAGCAGCAGCAGCAGTAGGTTGTTCCTGTCAGCTCCGCTCTGGGTAACGTGCCAGTAACCACAGAGGCCAGTACATAGCTGTCATTCCTCTGCTCACTGAAAGTACATTTAGCAACCAACACCTGTTTCCCCTGCTCAGTCTCCACTGCTCTGCCACAGCTCGGCCTGCATCATGGAGCAGGGATTCAACTCTTATGAAATATTCAATATCACTATTTCTGGAATGTCGCTTATCGACCATTTTTAGTTCACACTCTAGCCCACTCCAAGCCAGCAACAACAAATCCAACAACATTTCAACCATTTTAGGATGTTAAAGGTTTCCCTAGAAAGATTCTTAGTGGCCCTATAAAATATGTTAATGTATGTATATGGGGCTATAATGAAGAGGGAAATAGTAATATTGAATTACTTGCTACTTGTTGTGAATCAACAGCATTTCCATTCAAAGGCAGGGATACTGTCAGTGTGTAACTACAGAACAGATTGCAATTAACATATTTATGTCATTACAAAGCCCAAACAATCCCTTGAAAAAAGGTTGAGACACTTTCAACTCTATTTAAAATTCTTCCATAACACATAGTGTTTTATCTGACGTCATCTGCTGGCAAAAACTAATATTAACATTGTAAAAACAGAGTCACTTCCACTGGTATGGGGGGAATGTGCACTATTTACTGTAAGAGGTAGACTGACTTTCCAGCATCCACTTCCTTTGGCTTGCATCAGCTGATTACCGGTGTAATTTGGATAAAAGTACAGAAGCTTTTCATTTTCAGTGTCTTTCATTATTTGATCTGGTTTTCGGTGCATGACAGTGTTTGCTAACGCTTAAAAATCAAGTCAAGCCATTGTGCTGTAAAAAGGCAAACTAACATTATTATTGTCGTGAAAAGAGAGAGCGTTTTTAGTCATGGTGATAGAACTTAAAAACAATTTACAATAAACAGTGCAATTTCAATTAGAATGCGTAAAATGCCAAGAATTCCTCTGTAAATCCTTAGATGGTGGTTTTTCAGCGCTAAATGGTTTGAAAAGGAGCAGCGGGGAATCTCTGCCTCTGCCACCTGCCTGTCAATCATCCCGGCCTGTGTTATGTGACCCTACCTGTTCTTACTGTCCCATGCTTCCCATAATGACCATACCACACATACCAGAGCCACAGAGGGGCATTCCTGGACCATTGAGTCAGATCATTGTTGTTGTTTTTACTTTACAACTGTTACTAAGAGCAAGTTTCCATTGAGGATAAAAACAACTAAAGGACAGTTTCCTGAAGGAAATCTGGTGTCACAAGCTGTGCAGCATTGAAAATTGCAGATGGGACCTTTACAGATAATCGACAGTAAGGGTTTGTGTGTAAAGTAAACCACAGCTGGACTGATGTTGAGTTTAACACTAACATTTTGATTCAAATAGATTTTTTAGAGCCACTTGGACAAAAAGTTATTAATTTCAGTCAAACATGACAATGAAAAAATATCAACTTTAAATAAGGTGACTGGTGACTCGGTTTGTCTAATGATAATAATCAAGGATAACCACAAAGAGCCCCCAAAAAACAAACAAATAGATCACAAATCTCCATAGTGGATGATCGCGGACTATTAACACCAAGTCAAAAAAAAATTCATATTTTTTCTCCAATGCTATGCCCAAGTT